TCTGCTGGGAGGATGATTATGCTGCTATCTCTTTTCAGGGTTTGTAGCGCTTTAATTTCATTTTTCTGCAAGTTGCTTTTGGGTGGTTTGCTTGTGCATAGGATGTTCTTCTTCTTCTTCTGTATTGTGTTCGTCTGTGAGTCAGACTTTTACAGTTGTTTCAGTTTTAAATTTGGGGTAGCCTACTGCTGTGCCAGAATGGTTTTTTCTTCATCCTGATTGGTTGGGAGTCTTGGTCTGTGTTTATTGGTCTTGGAGTTTGCTGTGTTCTGCTTGATTGGTGTTTCTAATATCTTCTGTCTGTTTTGTGGCTCTTTTTGAGTGGCTGGCAACATTGTGTTCCTGTATTGGAGGCTTTTAGTGCAGCTTGGCTCCGAGTAAATGGACGGCTATCATTTGTTAGGAAGCTAGGTTTCATCTGGGTACCTGGTTGGGGTGTGTTTGAGCTGGAGGTATCAGAGGGGATCTGTTTGTGCCCAGGTGTTTGCCTGGCTAGTGGTGTGGAGATTTGTTTGTTTGTGAGTGCAGGCTTCCAAATAATTGACAGTCTGGTGGAATCATCTCTTCTATTCATGCTTTCAGGTCTTTTTTCAATCTCTATGGCTTCTCTGATAATTCTGTGGCTGGGGTTTTCTATAGTGGCTAGGGTTTTGGTGCCATTGACCTGTGGCTTCCATGTGTTGGACTAGTGAGGAAGTGTGTTCCAGCTTTTTTACTGCATTTTTGTGTTCGTCCAAGCGGGTACTAATTCTTCTATTGGTCTGTCCAATGTATGTGGCCGGGCATGATGCACAGGGGACTTCATATATGCCTTGGTTTTCCAGGTCAATTTTATCTTTGGGGTTTCTAAGGATGGCTGCTATTTTTCTGTCTGTTTTGAAGGCTTATATATATATATGAGAAACAATAGGACAGGGATGGTAGGCACGTTGGTGCGCTTATGCATGCCCCTACAGACCTCTTAGGAAAGGTGTGAGGTCAATAGTAGACAGTCTAAGGTTAAAGTTTTTGGGGTTTGGGGAAAAAAACCACAGAGTCAGGTAGAGTATTTCAGACATTGACCACTCTGTTGCTGAAGTCATATTTCCTGCAATCAAGTTTGGTGCTATTAACCTTGAGTTTGTATCTATTGTTTGCTCTTGTGTTGTTTTGGTTGAAGCTGAAGTATTCATTGACAGGTAAGTCATTGCAATGTATGATTTTATATACTATACTTAGATCGGACCGAAGGCGGTGTAGTTCTAGGTTTTCTAGGTCTAGAATTTCGAGTCTGGTGGCATAAGGTATTCTGCAATGAGTAGAGGAGTGGAGAACTCTTCTTGTGAAATATTTCTGGACTTTCTCAACTGTGTTAATATCAGATACGTAATGTGGGTTCCAGACTGATGAGCTATATTCGAGTATTGGTCTAGCAAATGTTTTGTATGCTCTAGTTTTGTATGCTCTAGTGTAATATTACTAGAGAAAAAGCGACATAAGATTAGGTTAACAACTCTTAATGCCTTTTTGGCTATGTAGTTACAGTGGGCTCTAGCACTTGGGTCATTTGAGATGAGTACTCCAAGATCCTTGACAGAGTTTGGATCATCAACAAGGTCTTGACTATTCAGCCTGTATTTTATTTTCTGATTTTTTTTGCCAATATGTAAGAGAGAGCATTTATTTGTTGAGATTTGAAGTTGCCATTTGTTTGGCCATTCTGATACATAGTCAAGGTCTTTTTGAAGGGTAGCCGTATTGTCTGTGGTGTTGAATAGCTTTACATCATCAGCAAAGAGAATGCAGTTGCTTATGATATGATCACAGAGGTCATTTATGTAGAGTATGAAAAGAGTTGGTCCTAGAACACTGCCTTGGGGGACACCACTATTGACAGGTACAGAATTTGATAGGACGCTCCCAATTTTGACCATTTGTTGTCTGTTTGACAGGAATGCTTCTATCCAGTTATGCAGGTGTCCAGAGATACCGTCAGATTTTAGTTTTAGGAGTAGTTTGTCGTGTACCACTGAATCAAAGGCTTTACAGAAGTCTATGTAGATTGCGTCTATTGCTTTGCCCTGATTGATTTGTGTAGTCCATATGTTTTTGCAGTGTAAGAGTTGCAGATTACATGATAGTTTTTTTCCTAAAACCAAATTGTTTATTAGAGAGTAGGTTGTTTCTTTCTAAGTGGAGGATGATGGATTGGTTAATAATTGATTCCATGACTTTATAGGTGACGCAGCATAAAGAGATTGGTCTGTAATTTTCAACTAGGCTGGGGTCTCCCTTTTTGAAGATGGGGATGACCGTGGCTTGTGACCATAGTTTTGGCAAGGAGCTGGTCCTGAAAGATTTTTCAGAGATTATGCTTAGAGGTTCGGCTATGGCAGTGGGTAGTTTTTTTTAAAGAAGTAGGCACATATTCTGTCCGGTCCAATAGATAGAGATGGTTTTAGATTGCGCAGTGCTTTTTCAACAATGTCTTCTGTAAAATCGATATGTATTAGATCATTGTAGCTGTCTGTGGTTATGTTTTTAGTTTATACAGTTTTTTATGATTGTAAGCCACCCAGTTACCCTAAGGTAAAATGCAGAGTTTATAAATTTAATAAACAAAAAAAAAACCTATACTAAAACTAAATCCTTATTTTGAGTTTGGATTCCCTCTGCTTCCACTAATTGGTTTTTTTTCCCTACCCATGCAAAAATAAGTCCACCCACTCTTCCCTTTGATAACCCTTCAACTATTGGAAATTTGCTATCATATCTCCCCCTAGTCTTTTCTAACTTAAGGTGCCCAGTTCTTCATAGGATTGTCTCCTTTTGATACTTTTTTTCTGCACTCCTCCCAATTCAGCATCCTTCTTGTATTGTGGTGAGCAGAATCAAGAGATGGGAGGCATATAAATTTAATAAATACAATAAAATTATTTTAAGCCTCATACATTCTTCAGCTCAGCCCTTTTTTTACTTGATCAATCTTGTATTCAATTCACCCATTCATGTTTGACCCTTTATCTCAGATTGATAGGATTTATTCAACACAGCAACACAGCAATTAAATTAAAACGAGGTTATAGAGCTTTGCTTAATCTTTAATCAGCAAATCAAATAGTTTCGGAGTCAGTAAGGAAATTTCTATACGAAAGTACGCTTCATACATTCCTTCAGTGTATTTCGGGGAAACCACGCGCTTTTACATAAAAGAAAGGCGCGGTTCGAAGCCGGCGAGAAGGGATGTAGCATTTTTGGCATGCACTATTTAGTCATTTGGAAGTCTGGCAAACTACATTTCCCAAGAATCTTTGCGCGAAATATGTGCTGCTATTGTCACGGCCATCTTGAAATCTGAACCGCTATCAAAAAAGATTTGGGGGTTGCTGCGTCTTTCCCAGTCTTGCGGTAGCCTGAGCAAAAGTGGGGAGGCTTAGTAGCTTCTTGGAAGGAGGTGATACTGAAGTCAGCTGGTAGTGAAGTAAGTCAGCTATCCGATTCGGGCGGAGAGAAATTGAACGGAGGCGAATTTTTCAGCTACGCAGATCTGTGGGGAAGGGTTGGGGTTTTTTTTGCTCCTCCCATCTGAGTTAGTGATATTTCGGTCAGCTAAAACCAACCCTGCTGGGAAATAGTAACCGAGAGAGACAGAAGAGAAGGGTGGCCCCTGAAGGAAGAAGCTGGCGAAATGAGGGAATCATGTCGAATTTGTGGTCGGGAACTTTGTGGCAATCAGAGGCGCTGGATCTTCCACACCGCAACTAAATTGAATTTCCAGGTTTTGCTCTCGCATGTTCTAGGCAAGGAAATCTCACGTGATGGCAAAAACGAGTTTATCTGTAGCAAGTGTGCCTTTATGTTGGAGCGCATATATCGCTTTGATACTGTTATTGCGCGCATCGAGGCGCTGTCAATTGAACGATTGCAGAAGCTAATGCTAGAAAAGGACCGCCTCAAGCTGTGTATCGCCGAAACATACAGGAAGAACAATGACGAACCCACCGACGAGACGACGGATGTATCCAGCCTGCCGGATCTGCGCTACTCGACTCTCCTCCAGGAAGACTTCGCTTATTCGGGGTTTGAATGCTGGACAGAGCCGGATGAACGCGTTGGAGACCCACAATCGTGCCACGGTGCAGAAAGCCGTCCTAGGCGGTGTCGGGGTTGCGCTGTGCTGCGCGTTACTGATGCTGATTATGAGGCAATTTGCAAAATCCCACGAAAAGTGGCAAGAAATCTCTCCTGTGTATCATCCAGGTGTTCTGCCAACGTTTGTAGTGAAGAGTTACTTATATGTGAGCCAGTAATTACTGACTTGCTAAGCGTCAAGGCGCCTTTGGATGAAGAAAGAGTGGAAGGAGAAACTTCCGAATTGTCCCTTGAATCGTTGGATGCAACCGCGATCGCTGATGCATTACATCCAAAAGAGGAGGAAACGGGCACAGAGGCAAAGAGAAACGCGACGTGTAACTGTATAAGTGATTGTGGAGCACAAAGCTTGTCACTTCAGGGCAACAGGTTAGAGGTAGCCCTTAATTTGGTGAAAGCTTTTGACTGCAAGCCAGTCCAGAGTCCCAGAGGGAGTAAGTTACCTATTCCTGTAAAATCAAGTTCTCATTGCCAGAACTTCGATAAAAACTCTTCTTCTGGCTTCCCAGATGTGGTGCTGAAATCTCAACCTGGCTTTGCCTTAGCTTTTGCCTTGGAGATGTCCGATCTGCAGGAATTGTGGGAAGATTTATGTATGGATTATGTTCCACTTCGAACTAAGGTAGAAGATTGTTTCTTCCAATATTGCCTTTCAGATTCTCGAATATTATCATCCTATACTTTTGATTCACTTTTGGCTTGAGATGCAATATTTTTGTAACCCACCTGTAATTTACTGGTTGCTTTTTTCATCCACTATAGTTTACCACTTGCTTTCTTCACCCATTATTGTTGGATTCTGAAAATTGCATTTTCATTTTCTGCTTTTTTTTGCTTGAAGTTTTTTTCTTTTAGCTTTCGGTTACATTGCTTTGCAAAGGATTAAAATGAATGTTATTTTCTGCCTTACATGTGAAATAAGAGTTATCTTTTTAAAAGGACTTGTAGAGTTGAGTTCATTAGTCCAGATTTGTGCTAGCTATGACTTGATTAAGATATTCATATAAAAATTTGCATGTTTTCTGTGGGGTTTTTTTTAAGGGAATTGCTATTGTCATAAAAATATATCACTTCAGATTGTCCTCATTGGCATGCTAGATATCATATGCAAGGAGACTGCATTATGAATTTCATTGACTTTATTAACAAAATTTTATAAATTTTACTGATATATCAAGTGGTTATACTTAACAAATAGTACTCTAACAACATTTTTAAAAGATTATTTTTATCCTGCCTGTTATTTCTATAAAGAATTCAAAGCAGTGAATGTACATAATATTCTTTCCTCCTCCTACTTTCTCTTCAAGAGCAACCACTCTATGAAGCAAGTTGGGCTGAGAGAGAGAGAGTGGCCAAAAGTCACCCAGCCAGCTTTCATGTCTATGATGAGATTAGAACTCACTGTTTCTAGTTACTAACCTGATGTCTTAACCGCTAGATCAAATTGGCTTTATATGAGGGCTATCCACAAAATAGATTACTTTTTTGTCTGTAGCAAGAAGGGGCGGAGCTAGCGTGGCCATCTTTGGTCTGTGCGTCCGCCGCTCAGTCTGCATCTAGTCGTGCTAGTGGGAGGTTCGTATCGTTGCCCGTTATTTCATAGCAAACATTTGAAATGTGTGCTGCAATTGAAAATCCCGCGAGTTGTGAGGTGCGATCAGTGATAAGGTTTTTGTTGGCAAAAAACCATAAACTGATTGGAAATTTTTTGGCAACTGTGTGAAGTGTACGGGGACAACATCATCACTGAAGGTGGAGTGTGCCAATGGTGCATTAAGTTTAAAAATGGCCGAACTACGGCACTCAAGAAGTCCTGAATGCTTTCAAGTGGGAGATTTTTCCTCATCCGCCCTACAGCCCCGATCTTGCACCAAGCGACTACCACTTGTTTCCGAGGATGAAGACCTGGCTTGGAACACAGCGCTTTGACGACGACGCGGGCGTGCGTGACTGACTGGCTCAAATCTCAGGCGGCTGAATTTTATGACAATGGAATTACAAAGCTTGTTCACCGCTATGATAAGTGCCTCAATTTGTTCGGTGAGGAAAAATCTCCCACTTGAAAGCATTCAGGATTTCTCGAGTGCCATAGTTCGGCCATTTTTAAACTTAATGCACCATTGGCGCACTCCACCTTCAGTGATGATGATGTCCCCATACACTTCACACAGTTGCCGAAAAATTTCAATCGGTTTATGGTTTTTTGCCAACAAAAACCTTATCACTGATTGCACCTCACAACTTGCGGGATTTTCAATTGCAGCACACATTTCAAACGTTTGCTGTGAAATAATGGGCAACGATACGAACCTCCCACTAGCACGACTAGATGCAGACTGAGTGGCGGACGCACAGACCAAAGATGGCCGCACTAGCTCCGCCCCTTCTTGCTACAGACGAAAACATAATTTATTTTGTGGATAGCCCTCGTATTTATATATTTATCATATCTATTTTTATATAACAATAAATGCTAATTTATATGCAATAGCACTTATAGGGCTTTACAGCACTCTCTGAACAGTTTGCAGTGTCAGCATATTATCCCCAACATTCTGGGACCCCATTTTCCAACCTTTGGAAGAGTGGAAGGCAGAGTCAACCTTGGGCCTGTCAGGATCGAACTCCAGACTGTGGGCAGAGTTAGCCTGCAATACTAAGCAGTATGCCACCAGGGCTCATTACTTTAGAAAGTAGAAGAATGCCTGTAACTACAGTATAGTAACTGATTTTCAAATGACAGTTGATTTTCTTTCAGCAATTTTGTTTTCTCCTAGTTTTTTCACATTACAAAACTCAGTTAAATTAAGTTGAATCTCTGGTGGAAATCCAGAGATATAGCATCACACACAGAATTGAGCTTTGTTGAAGATTATCTTCTTGCAACATCTCTAGGAATTGATTCTATTAAAATCATGAATTAATTCTGGAATTTGTGAAAGAGAAGCTGCTTTCTATAGTTTTAATGTATGCACAATCTTAAGCATGCATACAGAAATCCTACTTAAGTCAATAAGTAAGATTAAGTTGTGCTTAAAATCATAAAAAGTTAAAAAGATCTACTGGACTTAAACTAGTACTTTTTATCTATATAGATACCTAATCTAGGGTGAGCTTAAATTGATTATAAATACGGAAAAAGGGGCTCAGACATAGGTTAAAAAAATTGTCGAAAAGATAGATTAGATAGGCAGGTAGGCAGTCTAGTCTTATGACCATATCAAAGAAAATAAAAGTAAAATAAAAGATCTATTTCCAGGATAAAACAGGTTAAAGAAAATACAATGTATTGAATACAAAGAATCAACAATCAAATAAATACATCACCTTTATGTGATACCCTGATCTGTTCAATATAACACTTAGCTGAACTGCCTCATCTATAAGCTTAGCAATTATGCTAATAGTGTAGCTAAAATGTTAGAAGACAAGCTGCATTCCATTAAAAAAACTAATTTCTTAGTTTTCTTTCTTATAGTTATAAGAAAGTTATATTGCAGATAACTTAGTGAAAGGTGTCTCTGTCTAGGGGTGTGTATACTTTATATTTTGAAATTATTTGCAAAAACTGCCTTCAAACTTGTGTAATTGCAGCACCTTCTCTGCTATTTACTAAAAAAGCTGAATATTTCAGCTTCATGAGCCAGAAAAAAAGATAATGATGCTTTAAATAATCCTCTCAAGTTCAGCAGCTTAAAAAAATATTATTTATTTGTTTGTTTGTTTGTTTGTCAAACATGTACAAGATAACGAGTATAGGTATGAACATAAACATGAACAAAGGAAGTAAATACAGATAAATGGGGACAGTGAGATAGGGATGGTAGGCATGCTGGTGCGCTTATGCATGCCTCCTAAAATACAGAGCTTTGTTAATAAATAAATGCTGCACTTTGCCTCTTCCAAGTAGTTTTAGTGAAATGATATAACAACGAAAGGTAAAGAATATCTTAGCAAATAGTATTTTTCTTATTCTCTTTGTCTCTTCAGAATATGTTTGAGGCTAATCAGCAGCTAACTTACTGTGACATGTCATTCAGTGAAGAGGAAATTGTATGGAATGATACAGAACATATGGAAAAAACCAGCTCTTTAAATGCTATAAATAAGGTATTTATTTAATTTCAAAAATGTTCAAAATTATCTTGGGAACAAGATAATTTATGTAATAAATGTAATATCTTCAGTCAGTGTGCTAGCTAGAATACACCTTAATGTAGTTTTGGCGTTCAAGGTTGGAAACAATTAAGCAAATACAGGGCAGGAAGATCTTAACAAACTGAAATATTGTGCAAAATCTAGCCCTATGAAATTTAATAGGATCAAATCAAAGAGATAAGTACAGGATGGTGGGCATAACAGTGCATGAAAAGAAAAATTGCAGATGTCTTGCAGCCAAATGAGCCAACACTGTCAGATTCGTGTATCTGTCATTTCTTCAGTGGAAGAAGAAAAGGTGGGGGGGAGGCTGATAAAGAAATTCTGTCTTGATGTAACCTGAATATATTTAATCTTATATCGAATTTGTATAACCCACACATGATACGATGGAGGGAGAAAAGCCAGATGGCCAGAACTATCACCTCTGAGAGGCACAACCAGGAGATGAGAAGGTCATAAAAATTCAGTGAGATTGTACTTTGGGAATCTCTTGAATAGTTTGTTCTAAAAAGGGGGTGGGGGGGAAATTAGGTATGCCCTGGGAAACTGAAAAGACCGTTCCTTACACAACACATAATGCAGCAAGGCAGGGAAAGTGTAGCCATATAGTCTGAGATTCTTCCCAATCCCTTGACTGGTAGCACCCAATTGGATGTGTCTGTATTTTTTTCTGTATAAAGAAATATTGTGTGTTTCTGTACTTCCTGCTTATATGTCTGCACCTGGCAGCACAGGGCAAAGCTATGTATACTCTGCTAAGGGTCAAATGTCTAGGAGAAAGAATAGGTGAAAATAGAACAGTTGGCAGCATTTGAAGAAATAACTTATAGGAATTCAGAGGAGGAAATATTTTTTTTTATTCAATTTCTATTCAGCCCATTTTCATATTCACTTTTTCTTTTCAAAACTTATCTGACTGCAGCATATGAGATTTTCTGCTAGGTTTTTGGAGAGCTAGGCTACTGATGGATAGAAGAGCAGGCAGGAGCCAAAGCTATATCTATAATTTTTCCCAACATTTTGTTAGGTTGGCAAAGCATAAAAAAATCAAATGCAATCCTAGGTAGCATAAATAGTGTAGGGTCAAGATTAAGAGAAATCACTATTCCTCTCTATTCTGGATCTCTTAGTGCAGCCAGTTCTGAGCATGACATTTTAGGAAGGACAGTGACAAACAGGAGCAACAATCCAGAGAGTAAGAGGCCTGGAAAGAAAAATATAGGAGCAAGGGTTGTCGGAGTTGGATATGTTTAGTTGAAGAATAGAAAACTGTAGGGAGACAAGAATCTGAAGGTCTGTCATACAAAATATGGATTTTCAAACTTTTTCCAACCATGGGATCTTTTAGATTTTTTTAAAAAAATCCTGAATCCCCCTCAGTAGGCAAAGCTCTACTGATAGAAAATTGGTTGTGTTCAAGTAAAAATTTATTTTATACAAATTTTAATGGCATCACATCCAATTTGAAAAACCCTAATCTAGAAGTTGGGATAGAACTGTTCAATTGTTTTTTGGAAACAGGTAAGAAACTGTAGGTTTAAATTACAAGAAATTGATTTTAATTAAACATGAGGAAAAAAATCCTACTGGAGGTGCTGAAACAAAGGCTGGATGGCTATTTTGGGATGCTATAGCAGTGGCTTTCAGCACTGAGCAGTGTTCAAATATATTATCTTCAAGATCCAATTCATACATTCATTTAGCAGTAATACTAAAATAATACAGAAATAATTTTGACTGTTAATCCATATTGTAATATTTTGTGCCTGCTAAAAAGGCACATTGGTAATGCTTTAAATAAATGTGATTTAAAATTATTTGACAGTCAGCTGTAGAGTAATCCATTATTTGACAGTCAGCTGTAGAGTAATCCAGGGTTTCTGGTTAAAATTTAGCTATTTGAAGTTTTTACTTAAATGTCAACAGTCCAACTAGCAAACCCAAGAAAAGTAGACACCCTCAGAACTTTGTAATTCCAAAACTAAAACTTTATTGGATACACCATTTTGGCACTGAAGAAATAAAACCAGCTCTGAAGTTTTGCATATATGTATAATCTTCAGAAAGCAATAGCTTCCTGGTGAAGCATTTACATACTTTATTGTATCTAGTTATATTAATGATACTTCAGAGTTGCAAGACAATTTAGTGCTAGTTTTCCTTTTCTTAAATATAAGAAATAAATATAAAATTAAATTAGTGATATAAATTTATTTATGGTATTCAGCAGCTCCAAGACAAAATGAATGAAATGGATTTTGAACTGAAATCTCTCCAGCATGCATCCAAGAAACAGGATCACATAATCCAGAAATTGAAAGAGATGTTAAAGAGCAAGGAAAATGAGGTTTGTAATTCTTTGAAGAATAGATCTAATGACTGAAATATAATTAAAATAGAGCTGGAAGGAATCTTGGACGTCTTCTAGTCCAACCCCCTGCTCAAGCAGGAGACCCTATATCATTTCAGACAGTTGGCTGTCCAGTCTTTTCTTAAAAACCTCCAGTGATAAAGCACCCACATTTTCTGACGGCAAGCTATTCCACTGGTTAATTGTTCTAACTGTTAGGAAGTTTCTCCTTAATTCCAGGTTGCTTCTCTGCTTGATAAGATTCCATCCATTGTTTCTTGTCCACTTTCCCTCCTCCTTCCCTTGTGCCGGCCGCTGTGTTGCCCGTTTCTCCATTGCAGCGCAGCACCCAGGGTCCACTTTGATAGCGTGTGTGTATGTATAGTAATTTACCTGGCCAAATAATCCCGTAGTCTCCCCTACATTGGGCCCAGCTTCGATCATGCTGCCAACTTAATTCTTCATCCCTTTCACTTTTTCCTGCTGACAACACCCCGCTGACAACACAGCTCAATGTGGAGGGGGGAATCCCTCCACTTCCCTGCAATTCTTCACCTTCCCGCATGGGCTCTTGGGAGCATCAACTCCTTGCCTCTATGGTAACCCCACTTCCTTGTTCCTTGGAAACCTCGCCTCTTAAAGGAGCTGCATCCAGAAGGCTGAAACAACTGTGAAACCAACATGCAGACAAGCCCCCTTTGGAAATTTAACAACCGGTTTGCCCAAGGTCAGATTGGCCATTGCAGAAGGCTTGTTCCCCATGTGCAGGGGAGCTGGAGGACAGGGATTGGCCACACTTCCCACGACAGCTAACCTGACTCTGGGCAAACCAGTTGTTAAATTATTTGAATCCCACCACTGAAGGGCCTATTGTTCAAATATGTCAAATCTTTTTGGACCTTGAGCCTATCATCTAGAGCAGGGGTGTCAAACTGGCGGCCCATGGGCCGGATGCATCACATGCAGGCCATACCCATCCTACCTCTGCAAATGGGAAAAACATTGCAAAACGTTACATGATGGCAATGTGACACCACGAGTTTGACACCTGTGATTTACAGTGTTGGCTATTCTTGCCAGCTTTGTGTCATCTACACATTTTATGAGTTCCCCTTCTATTCCCTCATCTAAGTCATTTATGACAGGGGTTGCCAACCTTTTGGACTTCAGGGACCACCAAACTCATAATTTTAAATCCCGCGGAACACTAATATGAATTTTGACTCACTGCGGCTTGCTGACGTTTTCCCAGGGTCTCTGCAGAAAGCAGCAGAGACTCTGGGAAAATCCCAAAAAACGCCTGCAAGAAAATTCCCCACCCCATTTTCCTACTGATCAATCATTCTTTATTTGGCATTGCAGGATATTGTCTCCATCTCCGTTCTCAGGGGGAAAGAGAGAGAGAAATAGAGACTTTCGGCTTCATGCAAGGAAAGCAGCAGAAGCAGCAGAAGTCTTTCTTTCTCTCCCCCAAACTCTGCCAGAAATGAGTCTTTGTGAGACTTGTTGTGCCAGCATAGCCTCTTGGGGCAGGATGCCTTGCAGGATCCCAAAGACTAATTTCTGGCAGAGTTTGGGGGAGAGAAAGAAAGACTTTTGGTGCTTTCCTTGCGTGCAGCCAAAAGCAGAAGAAGAAAGAAGTGGAAAGAAGCAGCCTGGTGGCCAGGCGAGGTGCGTGGGGTGAGTGGGGCAAGTTCTCCCCCTCCGCCCTTTCCCCCTTCCCCTCACTACCTTGTGTTTTTCGCAATGCAAGCGACACAAGCCTTGTGTTCCCGTGGCCCATGTGGGCAGTGCAGCCTTGTGTCCCCACGTAGCCTGGATTAATTGCTTTGGGGGGTGTTTTGGGGGTGACATTTCTCTGCGGACCACCAAAATTTTCTTCTTTTTCTTTAAATTTTACTGATTTTTAAAAACAAACATAAACAAACAAAACATAAAACATAAAACATGAAAACATAAAACATCTTTTTTGAAAGCAGCCTGATCCCGGGTTACATCTTTTCATGCAGACACAAATTCAAATTCATGCTCATTTTTATATTCCATTCCATATCTTATTACCATTCTACATTTTCTATATAACTTCTCCCCTCTTTCAACTTTTTTAATTTTATTTTATTTATTTCATCTCAATTCAAATCATCATGCTTATATTCTTTGTCTGTCCTGTTTCAGCTGTCTATTATCTTTTCTCATTAAGCAAAATTTCTCCTGTGGTCACTAATTGGAGTATGACACCTTTATATCTTTCCCCTAAAATTATAACAGTTAATATAATACATAACTTCTGTTCAGATTCTGCTTGGTACATTCTAAAACTAAACAATGTATTTAAAAAAAGAAAAAATTATAAATATATAACATAATTAAAACAACAATCCATACCAATTCAATTCTATCATTAATATTAATATTCATTTAAATCTTGAACATTTTACACATTACTTTTCAAATAAGTATCATACTTCTATGGAAACACTTATAAACTTTCCATAATTACTTCCCTCCCACTTCACTTATATTTTATAAAACGTTGAGTAGTTAAAATGTTCCCATTCCTTCCTAGTTCAATTCTCTCATTTATTTCATTTCATTTATTTTGTTCACAAAAGTTTCACTAAATTACACTAACTATTTTATTCCACTTTTAAATCATATGTTGTTTCCAATTTTCTAACATTATTTCTATTACAAATATAACAATACAATCTTATGTACCTTTACAGAATCCCTTTTTCAGTTAAATTTTCACCCATTATCTCTGAATAAGTCCTGTTTCTTTACATCTTGCTCCAGACCTTTGTAACTTCTCTTCCCTTCCTTCTCCCCTTTCTTCTCTCTCCCCTTTTTACCCCCCTGTCTCTCCACCTCCATTTCCCTCTTCTGTATTCCCCTTTTCTGTTGCTTTCCAACATTATATCCCCTTTTCACATTATTTTTCCCTTTTTTGGCTGTTTTTTTAGGTCTTGGATTCTCCATTCTCTTTCCCCCCTTTCCCTTTTCTTCCCCAGATAGAATTACTTGTTCATTAAAAATGGCTTCTTCTTTGTCCCAATCTTCTTGTTGTGCAGTCTTTTCTTGTTGTTTCTTGTAAACACCAATCGCCATTTCTAAGAATTGGAAAATGGAACCAAAGGAGCCCTTCCCTTCTTGTTCCTCTTCTTTATATTTTTTAAATTCGATTTTCAGTTCATCCAGATCATTCAGTTCATCCAGAAGTGATGCCATTGTAGAGGTTTTTTTTAAACAACCACCCAATTCTTTTTAGTCATTCAAATATGATTTCCAAAAGTCCCAAAGTCACCAAACAATCCAAATACACACAAGCTGTTTCTTTTAACACTTTCTTCTTTTTTCACTTTCTCTTCTTGGGGTAACTATTTAGTTGCAAAGTTCCAGTTAAAATGTATCCTTTAGAAGTCTTGTTAAGATTTAACTTTAAATTCTTTTGAATTCCAAGCAGTCTCCTCCTTCCGAGTCCTGCCCTTATTCTTTTCCTCTCCCTTCCCACTTATAGCAAAAAAAAAAAAAAAGGGATTTTTTTGTGTTCAGAAATCTTTATTGTCCCTTTGGCATTTAATTATATTTCCAATTTAATTACCTGTTAGTGCCAAAGCGGATTTTTCCAATTTCTTTATTCAGATCTTCTCGTTGTCAGCATGAGGAAGGGGAGTGAAAAAAAAAACTTTCCCTTTTCACTTTTGTTCGCTGCTTCCGAGTCTTCTTTGGGAGCGATGTATCTTTTGCAAAATTTAAATTCCAGGGTACCTTAGTTGTTACTTTTTGTCCCGTTCAGCCAAAAACTTTCACTTCTTAACTTCCTCCTGCACTTTCTTTTCCGGCTGAGTGCTTCTTTGAGGTGGCTATTTCTGACCGCTGCTCTTACCGCCTTCGGGAAAGGGAGTTTAGCCAGCTGAGGAGGAGAGGTGCGGCTCCCCTCGACCCTGCTGGATCTCCCCCATCTTCACCACCTCTATGGGATGGCTTAGCCCCGAAGCCAGCTGGCTCGGGGCGCTCCAGCGGCAAGCCCAGGCAGAAACCGCGCACGATCGCGGATTCCTGCCTGCCGCCAAAGCCCTGCAAACCGGAAGACCTCCGGACCACCAAAATGTTCTTGTGGACCACCAGTGGTCCCCGGCCCATTGATTGGCAACCGCTGATTTATGAAGATATTGAATGCTGGGCCTAAGATCGAATCTTGTGGTAACGTACTGCTTACTTTCCTCTATGTAGATGTAGTATCATTAAGGACTACTTGTTGAGTATGGTTTGTCAGCCAGTTACAAATCCATCTGGTGGTGATGCTATCTATCCCACATTTTTCTAGCTTACCAAGAAGTAGCTTGTGGTCTACTTTGTTGAATGCCTTATTGAAATCTAAGTATACTATGTCCACAGCATTTCACTGGTCAACTAATTTAGTCACTATCAAAGAATGAAATAAGATTCATTTGGCATGATCTGTGCTGGCTTCTAGTTATAACCTTATTTGTGTCTAGATAGTCACAGATCTATGATGTCAGATCCATGTATCTGCCATTCTTCAATGGAAGAAGAAGGGGGGGGGAGTTGGTACAAGTAATCCTTTTTGATGTAACCTGAATATATTAAATCTTATATTGAATCTGTATAACCTACACATGATATACAACTGGAGGATTGGAGTCAGATGTCCAGAAATTCGTCACCTCTTGAAGAGATAGCAAGTGGTAAAGGGACCATAAAAATTCCAGATCCGGAAGATACTCCCTGGGAACTCTTCAAAAGATACGTTCTCAGAGAAGGGGAGGGGGGAATTAACATGTTGGTTCTTTGTTTGACAAAATATACATCTAAATAAGGGGAGGGGTCCTAACTCCCCTTATCTATTACTGCATGCCTGGGAGGATTTAGACTCTGCTTTGAATAGGGCTGGAATCACCTCATTTCAATAAAGGATTCCTTTTGAAACATCTAAGTCTTCAGAAGTTCATTCTTTTCGGTTCAAGGGGAAAAGTCCAGTTCTTGACACAATGGTTCTGAGATAATATCTGCCATCTCCTTCAGAATTCTGGGATGTAATCCATCAGGTCCTGGTGATTTATATTCATTAAGATCAGACAGATGTTCTCTTACCATTTTCTTGTTTATCTTAATTTTTATTTCTAGTCCGTCTTTTGCAGTAATTTGTTCAGTAGGTTGAGCTATAGTTTATGCATGAAGACTGATGCAAAGAATGAGTTCAGCAGCTCTGCTTTCTCTCTCTAGTGCTGTAGTCATGAATAATAGATGCTTTTCTCAACTTTCAATATTATTTTAAAATAATAAGTCAAGAATTTGACTCAAATCACTTCCAAAAAATATGTAGTCAACTATCAAGATGTAGTGAAACTGAAAATAATCTTTTTGAATGTAGAATTGCTACTGGAATAGCTAACCCCCTGCATTGTGGGTGCTCCATTACTGCAGGTTTTCAAGAAATAGACTGGACAGTTATTTGACTGGGATAATGCAAGGCTTCTGCTTTCTAATTTAACATTTTTATTGAGTTATAAAATATTGTAAAATACAGAAGTAAATAGAAAAGCAGTGGGGGGGGGGGTGAAGTGAGGAGAGATAAGAAAAGAAAAAGAAGCATTGACTTCCACTCTTTCCATTACAGTAAAATAAGGCATTAACATAAAATGCCAACTTTTTGCTTTTTCATATTAATATGAACAAGCCATTTGTGTAAAGATCTATCAATCTACTCGGTAAAACCCAAAATCAAAGTTTCATTCTTTTCCACATCAAGCACAAAGTTCAGAAGCGGTCTCCATGTGGAAACAAAAGTACTTATGTTCTCAAAGTAGTCAATTTTGCCATTTCAGACAATTCCATCAACTTCTGCAACCATTCGTCCATAGTACGGATCGAAGTACAATAGTAGAGATCTAGTTGATGATCCTTCAGTGTTTGGGTTTTTCTCCTGTTTCTGGTTTACTTTCTGATTTCAAATTGCTTGGTCCTGTTTTCTGTAGTGTGAAGAACTAAATCATGTAATTCATAACCAGAATGAGAAAATAGTCAAACTGCAAGACATGCTACATAAGAACCAGCTTGGGCAATTACAGGTATGGCTTTTACTTGAATTTGTTTACAAATTAATGTTTTTTTGTTTATATCTCTCCAAAAGTTTTTTTTTTTAATTTTGCAAGATGATTAACCCTAATAATGAATGCTAAAGATATAATGTATACAAAAAATGTTTCCCATTAAATCCAAAATATGCCTGCTATAACATTTCCAGCATTAACACAGATGATACAGTAGTATATTATATGATGGAAAATCTTACTTTTTCCAAGGAAGAAGTTTAAATAATTGAGTACTTTGGAGTAATTCTTTACCTGCTTAAATCCAATAATTAAGTAGAGCAGGTAGAACAATACAATAGTGATCTGCTGTCTACAGTTGAAAGCCTGCAGTAAAAAGAAATTTATCAAATTTACTAGAAAGATAGATTTCTAGTTTAAAAATACTTCAGGACTTCAGAATGTTGAATTGTGTTTGAAAATGTATGAAGACAATTGCTAAGAAGATGTTGTAAGCCACCCGGAGTTTCCTGTATGTGAATTGGGAAACTAAAAAGTATAAACAAAAAAACACAAACAAACAAACGAACAGGCTTCCTAGTTTATGTCCTAATTTATCAATATAAGGCTTTGAGGCATATGTGGGTTGCATCTTACAAGGATAGGGAGAAATATGTTTGGCTAGAGCCTTGGCTAGAGCAAACCTATCGCTGAGTGCCAGAGGTGGCACGCAGAGCCCTCTGTGGGCACGTGAACCGTCGCCCCAGCTCAGCTCTGCTACGCATGCACATTCATGCCTCCCGCCAGCCAGCGGGTCTTTGGGTCTCTTCCATGCATATGTGGGGGCGGGGGGCATGCGCAGGGGGGATACATATTGCATTTTGGGGATATGCAGATGTGTGTTTTGGGCACTTGTTGCCAAAAAGGTTAGCCATCATTGGGTTAGAGCCTTAAAAACCTTAGAAGAATGGCTTTAAAGAAGGGGACAGGAGAAAAGGCAAATAATACAGGAACGTAGCTGCATATGATAATAGAGGAGTCAGGAGTCAGGAAATATTAACAAATAAATCTGTGATAGACAGATGACTCAACAATAACATCTGTAGGTTCCAATGTTTACAACAATAGTACTCAGAGGATGGATAGCAAACAGAAAGAAATAGAATCCTAAAATGTAAAAGCAACAATGATTTCATAAATATTAAAAAAATGCAGTGAGATGAGAATCATGATTAGAAAGTGGAAATCAAAGAATATTAATTATTCAAAGAAATAGACCCAATATTATCACAATACAGATTTCTCAACTTACAACCATTCATTTAACAACCACTTATGGAAAAAACTTCCTTATGACTGATCCTCACACATCATCATCATCATCATCGTCATTTAATAAATTTTATTAATTTTCTATTAATTACATTTCTTAATGCTTAATAAACATCATGTTGTCTGGCTATTTAATTTGCTTAACAATACAGATTCCATTGTTACTCTCCACCCCTTTTTTCCAACCATTGGTAAAATAAGTTCCATGTTTGATACTATTCTGTGTCTTCTTTCTGTTTGATTTTCAATGTAAATCTTTCTACCCATTTCTGCACAGTCTAGTACAGGCGTGTCAAACTTGATTTCATTGAGGGCCGCATCAGGCTTGTGTCTGACCTCAGGGGGCCAGGGTGGGTGTGGCCAGCTTAACATCACTCATGTTGGGGGCATCTGTGGTGGCCTGAGCGCTCTGTGAGCGAAAACGGGCTCCCAAGCTCCGTTTTTGGCTGAGATGGCCTCCTGCAACTCTCTGCCACGGCTCTCCCAAGCTCCATTTTCTCTGGCAGAGGCACTGTGGGCTGTTCTTTCACTGTTTCCAGGGTGGCCCTGCGAGCCAGATCTAAGCACCTCGCATGCCGCATCAAGCCCTTGGGACTTGAGTTTGACACCCCTGATCTAGTATTTTCTTAATTATCTCTTCATTTTGTGGTGTTTCTTCATCTTTCCAATATTGTGCGAAAATAATCCTCACTGCTATTAAGACATGTAATAGTAAATACATACTTTCCTTATGAATTTTTTCTGATATCATCCCTAATAAAACAGTTCCGGTTTAAAATCTGGATGTTTCCCTATTATCCTTTCTAGCCATCTGTGTATTTTTACCAAAATATTTTTGCTTTAGCATATGATAAAATGTGCCCATCTTTTGATTACATTTCCAACATTTGCTAGACATACTTTTAAACATTTTAACTAACCTAATAGGTGGTAAATGCCATCTGTAAAACATTTTATATAAGTTTTCTTTATAAGAAGTTGCCATTGTTAATCTATAGTTCCTTTCCCATAAATTTTGCCATATCTCTAATTCTATGTTATCGCCAAATTTTTCTCCCTTGTACCATTGTGTCTTTTATTTGTTCATCTTCCATTTTTAAATTTAGCAAGAAATTATATACCTTCTTAATTAATTCTTATCAGAGTTCAACAGTGTCTTGTCAAAAGGTATTTGTCCTTTATAAAAGCCATACTTTTTTCATATCTATATCATATTTAGATTGTATTTGAGGCCACCATGATAGTATAATGTCCTGTTCTTCAAGCTTTTGCTTCAATTTTAATTTCCTTTCAGTGTCCAAAATATCTTTATATGTCACCATTTTTTCAAACTTCACTAGATTTGGGTATATAAAGGCTTCCATCGTTGAGAGCCATTCTGGAATTTTCAAGTATATTTTATTTTTTCCCATATCGATATTAGTGAGTTTCTTATATAGTGATTTTGAAAGTATGTATGGATTTTATTCTTCTCATACCATAGGAAGGCATGCCATCCTAATTGTAAATCATGTCCTTCTAAGTATAACAGTCTCTTGTGCCTAAGGGTTATCCATTCTTTTACCCATGTTATCACACATGCTTCATAATACTGTATAAAGATCAATCTGGTAGTCCAAACCCTCCATTTCTTTAGATTCTTGTAGCATTTTCAATTTTATTCTCACTTTTTTTCCTTGCCAAATAAATTTCAGTGTCAATTTGTTCAAATCATCAAATAATTTCTTTTCAATTTTTATAGGTATTGTTTGGAACATGAAAAGCAGTTTTGGTAGGATGTTCATTTTTATCATAGCAATCCTTCCTAACATTGATAAATGTAGGTTTTTTTCATTTTTCCAAATCTAATTTTATTTGGTTAAGTAGTTTTATATAATTGTCTTCTTTTATCATTGTACATCTTGCTGTTAAGAATATTCTCAAATATTTAATTTTCTTAACTATTTAAAAGTCCACTTTTTCTGCCAGATTTTCTTTTTGCTTTCGTATAAGGTTTTTAACTATAACTTTAGTTTTTTCTCAGTTTATTTTCAGTCCTGCTATCTCTCCAAACTGCTCTATATCTTTTAACAGTTTTGGAATTATCTCTAGTGGTTCTTCTACAATGAATACCAAATTATCTGCAAACGCTTGTAGTTTATATCTTTCCTTTCTTATTTCGATTCCCAAATTTTGTCTGATATTCCTGTTCAAAACTTCCACAGTCAATATAAATAATAAAGGCGATAGCGGGCATCTGTGTCTTGTTCCTTTTTTTATATTAAAGCTCTCTGTATAGTCCCTGTTTACAATTACCTTAGTTGTTTGTGTTGAGATAATTCCCCGTTAGGAGAATTAGCGCACACAGAAAGACGTAGTGAGAGTGGTGAAGAATAACACACAAACAGCACACAGCTACACTGTATAGTAAAATGTACGTTTTTACTTCCAGTAAATGGTTAAGCAAAGTTCAACAAAAAGTCCAAGTCATTCACAGTTAAAACAATCAGATTTCAGTCCAGGGTTAATCCAATCAAAAAGTCCAGTATCAAAAACAGTTCAGTAACAGACTTACATCAAATCCAAGACTAACGATGATCAGCAACAGTCAATAAGGAAATGCAGGAATGGCAACACTCTCAGCAACAAGAGACAGAACAACCCAGGTTTCTGGCTCCATCTTATGGCCGTTTGAGAAACCACACCCAATTACAATTTTAGCATTTCCTTAAAGAGACAGTATTAAAATGTCTATCCTGGTTTATATATTTTCTAACTCAACTGTTAGGTGACTTACATTCCTAACATTCTCCCCTTTGGGTAGGACAATATATACAACCTTACATTCTAATTCCATAATCCTCACAGCAAGCCTTATGCTTTACTGAGCCTTGGGCTTTTGTAAAATGATCTGCAATGTTATTTTCTGATATACAGTATTCCAGCTTAATCATCTTACTTTGTACGCATTGTCTCACATTTAAATATCTTAAATCTGTGTGTTTTGATCTTGTCTTAACAGCAAGATTTGAAGCCATCTGTATTGCTGATTGGTTATCTTCATAAACAACAATAGAATCTGTTACATCAATTCCCATATCAATTAATAGTTGCTTATAACAAATTAAATCTGTACATAATAAAGACAAACATGAGAATTCAGCCTCCATTGTTGACAAACTTAAATGTTTCTGTCGAATAGACCTCCATCCAATCAACACTTTTCTCAATAATACTACAGTACCCGATGTAGATTTACGTGTATTTATGTCTGCAGCAAAACTTGCATCGGCATATGCAGTTAGACTTAGTTCATTCTTAGGCTCCAAATACAATGCATAATGCATTGTTTGTTTCAGATATCTTAACACACGCTTAGCAGCTTGCCAGTGCCTTTCATTTGGCTCAGCATTAAATCTGGCTAATTGGTTAACACTGTATGCTATATCTGGCCTTGACCAATTACTGAGATAAGGTAAACTACCAATCAAGGACTGATAAATGTTCTTATCAAAAACAGGACTTTGAACATCACTATGGCTAAACTCCTGGCTCATTGGTGTTTTAGCCAGTTTACAAAGTTCCATTTTAAAACTTTTTAGTAATTGGTTAATTTTATCTGCCTGTGAGATTTTGTATCCTCCCCTAGTTCTATCTATCTTTAAACCAAGATATTGTTTGATTTCTCCTAACTGTTTTATCTTAAATTTCCTCTCTAACAGTGAGAT